GTTCCAATTGGAATTTTAGCTAATAGTTCAATGTTTCGCTGGTATGTTTTGCATGTTTTGATGAATTTCGTGCTCTATAACACTGCAATGGAAATCTGTTTTCCAGCGCTGTTTACTTTCTGTTGTTTTCAGCTTATTAATACGAAATGTCAGGTCGATGAGAATCAGCATTCCCGACTTTTTCTCCCCCACGCTTTCCACGGAAGCTTAAAAACCCCTGGAGTCGCAGTAGATTTGCCATGGTTTGTGTAAAGCACTGAGTAACAGATTCATATGAGAACGGCTCACAATTAATTTGAGAAAAGCACAAACCGACAACGTTGACCTTGCAGACATCCGGTCGACCCATACCTCACGATTTTTTTTGTTTTCCTTAGTAAATTTCAAACACAGTATTTACAACACTATAAAATATAGATATCTCGTTCACATAAGGAGTATCCAGCTTTATTTTCCTTCCTGATTACTGTACTGCAGATGAATTCTGTGAGCTTAGACAGAATCAGATGCTTCCACATTTGATCAGCGTTCATTGGTAGTCCGGTCTGTTCCAATGCGAGAAGAGATTGCTTCAAGAGTTTCACGGCAACTACTTGGGTTTTCGTGAGCTCGCGGGAGTCGTTCGATTTCGTTGATCAAGATGTCTGCGATGCTTGCAGATCTATCATAGTGTTTCTTCAATATCTTGATGGCTACTGGGTACTTCTCGCCCATAACTGGGATGCTGCTGACTAAAGCAGCCGCTTTTCCTTGAGAGCCTGCTTCAAGAATAGGAATTTTTCTTGGTTTACAATAAACTAGTCAATGATATATTCCATTGTTTCTTACAACCTCCTCCCACCGATCAGCCAGCTCAGTCAGTCACCGAGAAGGCATTGAAAAGCATTGCTTTTCTCAAAATCAATTGTGAGCCGTCCTAATATTAATCTGTTACTCTATGCCTTACTCAAACCATGGCGATTCTATTGAGCTGCTCTAGGAGCTTTGAAGCTTCCGTGGACAGCGGTAGGGAGAGGAAGTCGGGAACGCTAATTCTCATCGACCTCACGTTCCGTAATGATAACCTGAAATTAACAGAAAGTAAACAGCTCTGGAGAACAGATTTCCATTGCAGTGTTATAGAGCACGAAATTTGCTATCAGAACATGCAAAACATATCAGCGAAACATTCAACTATTAGCATAAAATTTCAGGTGGAACAGACGTGAGCCTGCCCAATATCGGCGAGGTGAAGGTTGCCAACTTTGAAACTCGAAATTAGTTCCCGAGCGTTCTATTGAGATTCCTTGCTGAGATTCTAGCTCAACCTTTTCCAAATGTATGGAGCAGCTTAAGCGATTTTAGCACTTCGAGTAGACGTAAATAGAGGCAGTTGTCGAAGGTGCTAATTTTCGCCGACTTCACTTTCAACTTCAACGACTAAAAAATTCACAAAAATTATTCCCTCAACCGAAGCTGTTTTGATATTCTTATACTACGAGAAGTTTCCTATCAGATGATATCAAGCTTGCTTGCAAAACATTTCACTTTTGAAACAAAATTTTCAATTGAAAAAACTCCATTGCTTATCTGCTAACCCAATAAAATGAATGGATGCATTAACCTGATCTTACGTGTTATCATTCATGAGTAGTTAATTTATTGTTCAACAAGCCGGATCGCCCGGCTTACGCCGAGCTCCCCTTTTTCTCTTTAGCTGGCCTGGCTCCCCAGGCGCACTTTCATGGAAACGGAATTTGTTCACTAAGCTGCTCATATTGTATATAGGAAGTACAGTCGGATAGAAAGTACAGTCGGATACAGACTGCAGCGCAATATGGGTTGCTCATATGTAATCCATTCGATCATGTCGCACAAAGATTGCAGATGCTAATATTTTGCTACGTACGTTGGTTGTGCATTTTCCATGTCCCGTATTATTTATTTTCATCAGTTCTTGAACGTTTGAAAGTAAAAGGGTGATATCACCTTCAAAACATTACCTCGAATTGATACCACGATATTAATTTGTTCGCGACTCTGCTGGCGGTGGGTTCTCTCTTCCTATTACATCGCTTTCACTGAAGTAGCGGTGTGCTCATGGTAAAGCGCACTCTACGCTTCACACCCGTACCCACCCATCCCTCCCCACCCCAGTGCCTCAATCCCTTCCCTACCCTGATTGATCCACGCGTCATTCCAGCTGCCCCGCGAGCAGCTTGTGCAATGATTTGGAGTGCATCGAATGCTTTTTTCATATAGTGCAATGTGTGATCACAAATTTTACCTCAGATTGATAGCACAACATAGATTGGTCCGTAATCCGTAACTCTGCTAGCAGTTAGGCCATCTTTTCTTCAGCTTAATGCTTTCACTAATGCTTTTGTGCCCACAGCAGTGATCTGCTATTGCTAAAGCGTACTCTACGGTCGCCCTCCCCCTCTCCCCAAGTCGTACCTCCCCATTAACTCCACCA